AGCGAAAGAGTGTCATATTGGAATCGCCAGCCGATTACTACATGGAATGACCGTGTCCTTTGTCTGCAATATGTGGTGCATGGTGGCTTACTTACGCGGCTCGACTCTCTTGGCGTTTGAGCGCCGAGTTTGATTCTCTGAGTCCACAAATATTGGTCGAATCGAGTCGCCATGTACCCAATCCAAAGCCAACAAACTTTATCGCACTCACTCCCCTTTCTAACCATTTTGCTATCCTTTTTGCTCTCCAAGTGTCAACTCTTACACTATAGCGTGTTGCATGTCTCGTTCACACTACCCTTGACTTCAACAACTACTACGACTTGGAGCCACCTCGCGAGAAGACTGTACAGGTCGTTGCAGGCCATCTGGACCACAACTGACCACTGCATGACACCGCTTTGCAGTGCTCGGGAATGAAATGACGCCACTTCAGATATCTCGGCGGGTGGAATGACACGTCGTTCAACATATGCGGCACTGAAACGGACGGCCACGATGGGCTCTTGAATATTTTGTGTCAAGATTCTTCTTTCGCCGCAGTGCTGGGTCCGATCGATATCCTGGTCGTGGATATTGTGTGATCTGTGATGGTGCAACGCAGCTACTCGTACAATCCTAAGCAATCCTGCGATGGATTGTCGTCCACGCTCTTCCTCCCAGCTACAGCTTGGCGCAAGACCGTGGTCATACTACAGCCATCGTGCTGGCTAAATGACGGCAACCAGACGTCTTTGGAGAAGGTCGCCTATTCAGTGGCGTCGGAACGCTCTGGTTACAAGGCGTAATGCATTCCTCCTTTGCTTTCGGCTAGGCCGTGGGAATGGCATGAAATTTGGCGCCCGTCCGGATACGTCGGATATGGGGAAGCATGAGAATCCTTTTCGCTACTTCAACGATGCCGGCGCAACTGCAACACCACGCAGGCTACTGGGTGTGCTTGCGACTGTGCTCGTCAGGCTCTACTGGCAGCCAATTGGCAAGAGTTCTTTACATCTGCGGTCCCAGCACGCTCACGCCCTCGCCTTTCGTCCAAGCACAGCAGGACACCAGGATCCATTCCAACGGCATATCATATGGTAGTGACGTGGCACTCGGAGAGGTTGCAAAAGAGTGGACGGCGATCACTCGTCGTAAAACGCGCCAATCAAACGCCATTCGATTTTCTTGTCAGCCAATCCGATGTACGTACGGGCTTCGATAAATATGTCGCATCGCAACGTATTGTGCGACCACAAATTACCATGAGAGGTGGGCGTGTCAATGGCATCTCGTCGGCGTACCGAGTCTCTACCACCACACACACATCATACAGCACGATCCAAAGCGATTCTGACCACAAGTATCTAGATAGTCGTCATAGCACGATCCAAAGCGAATAGCACGATCCAAAGCGATTCTGGCCACAAGCATCTAGTTAGTAGTTATGTATGATATCGAGCTACCGACCAAGCCGTGCGTCGATAGCTTTTTACCATTCCACCCTTCTCCCATGACGTTTTATGGAAGACTGCGCCACTGCAGTCTCGCTTGACAGACATCCAAGTCACTGAACAACTTCATTTTCCGATTTGCTCGCAACTCCATCAACACCACCACTACCACCATGCAGCTGCTCACGACGACTGCGCTCCTGGCCGCGATGGCCATGACCACAACCTACGCTCGGACCTGCGGGTCGCCCGAGTGGAACACGGACTTTGCCGGCAGCGACATCTCCAACTTTGGCACCACCGGCGACTTTGGCAACATGCTCAAGCAGTGCTGCGACGCGTGCACGGCCAGCAACACGTGCGTCGCCTACACGCTCGCCGACAACGTCTGCTACCTCAAGTCGGGTGC